ATCCTTTTTAATATTTCCTCTAATGGCCAATTTAAGCATAATATGGTTTGGGATAATTTCAGAGTTAAGCAAGCAGAGTCTATGGTCTTTAAGGCCTTGTGGAACAATAGAGTTCTGGTTTCTTATTCCATTCTAGCATGGCGATGCATTAAAGGGTTTTTACCTGTGGATAATCGGCTTTGGAATAAAGGTTTTCTTTTTCCTTCGAAATGTCAGTGCTGTTTTAATATTGAAAGTATTGATCATGTTTTTATCAGTAGCCCTACTGCCCAAACTGTTTGGAACTATTATTCTAATTCTGTTAACAAAGTCTACACTGTGAATGGTTTTGATAATATCTATGATATGCTTTCTGATTGGATGATTTCTACTAAGGGTCACATTATTAATATTTTGCCTATATTTATTTTGTGGTTCATTTGGAAGGCTAGAAATGAGGCCAAGCATAGATGTATTAAAATTAATGCTAGTGTCATTATTTCTAATGTTAACAATAAAGTCTTTCAAAGCTTTTCTGCTAATCTTATTAAAGAGGAAGATTTCAAAAATTGTGATAGTTTTGCTTCTACTCTTGGTATTGATTTGAATGGGGCTCATGTGGGAAGAAGGGAGAGGTTGGTCAGATGGTTAAAACCTACCCAATTTTTCCTCAAGCTCAACACGGATGGTGCTGTTTATCATTCTTCTGCGGGGATGGGGGGTATTCTGCGTGACTGGTTGGGTGATGTGATTTTGGTTTTTGCGGGTCCTTTACATCCGTGTAACGCTATTTTTGTAGAGCTGATGGCCCTTGCTAAGGGGCTGGATTTGTGTATCAGTAAGGGTTTTTTTAATATTGAGATTGAGGTGGATGCTTTGCTTATTATTCAGTTGATTAAGAATGATAATAGTTCAAATCCGCAGTTTTTCTATCTCATTAGGAAGATTCGGATGGCTATGGCTAATATCAATTGCTCTTTGAATCATATCTTGCGTGAAGGTAATGCTTGTGCTGATTGGTTAGCGAAATTTGGTTGCACTTCTAGTAACAATTTTGTGTTTGAGATTGATAATTTGCCTTACCAGCTTTTGGCTTTGGTTAGGCGTGATAATCCGGGGGTTCCTTTCTCTAGGGGTATTTGATGTGTGTGTCTCTGGTGTGTAGGTCTTTCTTTTTTGTTTGCTTCTTTCTTTTTTTCTTTGTGCTGGGTGTTTTTTTGGTGCTGGTTTTTTTTCTGAGGTTTTTGAGTTTGTTGGGCTGTGTGTTTCGGCGCATCATTTTTCTGTTCTGGATAACTGGTTTGGGGTGCCTTTTCGGGTCTTTGTGATCCCTCTTTCCGCTGGGAGAAATTTTGCCATTTGTTTTTTTTTTATCAGGTTGGTGGGGGTGCTGGAATTAGCTCTGGTTTTTTTGTGTTTTTTTGGGTTTTTCTGTACTGGTTGTTTTTGCTGCAGTCTCTCTCATAATGGGAATTCTATTTTAAACGTTTTAAATTTGTGTGATTTCTTGGGTTATAAGAATTGGTTTGAGGGCTTTGACAAGATTATTTTTGCTGGTCACTATCATTTGGGGGCTGTGGTTATTTCTGTTGCTGCTGCGCCCCTCTGGATGAGTGGGTTAAACATGAATCATATGGTTTTTTTGGATGCTATTAATGTTATCTCCTATGATTATTATAATATCTTTATGAGATCTACTTGCAGGAAGCTCTACACCGATCGTCATATTATATGCTCTATATGCAAGGTAATTTTATTTTGGTTATTACTTTTTTTTGCATGTTGTCACTGGTTTTTTTGCAGGAAGACTGAGCTGAATGTCATCATCTTTAGTTTCCTTTTTTGGGTTCTGTTCACTCACAGACCTAGTTTATTACTTTATTATTTTTGTAATTGTAGAAAAAGGAACCATCGGCTCATAGGTTTTGGTTTTCTTTTATTAATTGTGCTCTTCCGAGCAGTAGTGAGCTGAAGGTTCCTTCTAAGGATCTTGTAACCGAATTTTTGAATATTTAAATGTAGGCCCCATGAGTGGGTTTTAACAAAAAAAAAAAATATGTTGGATCCAAATTTGTATGTGGATGATTAAAGTGATGAGCAGAAGATAAAGATGACAAGCATGACCAAGCATTCAAGGGAGACAAATCATTTGATAATCTTCTAAATATGGAATTGCTTCTTAATGCTCATTGAAATTGATACAATTGCATAAGAGATTCGATACACTTTATAGAAATAAATAGTTCAAATAAAAAAAAAGTATATGTATTTAACACCCATTTAAATTTTAATAATGATAATTTAAGGGCACTTGGGAGGGGGGGGGGGGGGGATTTCTTTAATTTATTATGTTTACACTCCACTACTCAATCGACTCCAATTTTCCTTAAGCATTTAAAAGAGCAGAATGAGAACAACTAACTCAATATACTTTACATACTAACCCATCACATATATCAATACTTAAATTAATAATTTAAGTTGCACTATAAAAAAAACAAGGTTATAAAGAAACATTAAAGTAATTGGATAATTATAAAAGAGTGAAACACTATTTTAGAGTTCAAGAGCATAATTAATATTTTAACTTACTTGTAAACATACTTATATAGACATTTCCACATCCTTCAAAGAATACTTGGTCTTATAGATTCACTTGCACTTGATTTTCGTTTTTCAATAGAATTCATTCAAATTTTTAGAATTTTGAAACATTTATTTCATATTGTTACTTATATTTATTTCATTAACATCAACTTAATACAATTATTATCATGCATATGTTCTGATAATTGCATATGGCTCTCTTTTACCTCTAACACTTGCATATAACTAGTAGGGACAGAATCCCTCTATTATCTATCCTAAGATGATGCAGCCAAAAGAGTTTGTACAATACTATATAACCTCCCACAGTTACTTTTAGCATGCGGGGGCTAGAATCCCTCCCATATCTACCCTAAGCAAATGGTGCAAAAATAGAACAATTAGTGCTCTTTTCACATAACAAAGAGTGCACTTTTCCACATATCGCAACATCTCTAATGCTATGTTATAAACAGTGCAAATGCAATATAATACAAATTAAATTAAAAATCTTGCGCAATATCCAAATAATGCTTTAATTGCCTGTAAAAAGTCACATTTTGGCAATGTAATTATGAATTTCTTACTCGTATTTTGGCAATGTTCAAACCATACATATTCAAAGAAAAATAAAGATTTGTTTTTTAATTTTCTTGAAAGAAAGGGGCTAATAACTTTTCCATGTAAGCAACTGCTACCAACGTGATAAGGCCAGGTGCCCCTTACTTAAAAAACCTCACATCTACACAGAAATTCTACAAACTCACAACTCTCTTATCACCTTTTTAGCTCTTTTTTTATTATTATTATTTTTGTTTTGTCTCTTTGGTGACACTAAATTTTATGAAAAATAAATAAAAAAAAAAATTTCATCACATTTTATCATTTTTTTATGAACATATAGTGCTAAAATTTTATATTATATTTCATATTATATTTAATTTGCTACATTATTACAAAATTTTAATTTTTAAATTATATAATTTACAACATCATGTCAAAAGCATTTGTGTCATATTTCTTCAATACTAATTATTTATAGGTTGTGTTATGTATGTATCCATTGTCCATATCGATACATAAAACCATAGAAATAACTTTCAAGTTGATTGTATAGTCGTGAACAACTCGGCAAGTTATCAAATTCAACAAAAAACAAATAACTTTAACTCATTTGCTAAAAGATTTGAACTTGTTCAAATGCTATTTCAGCTTATGCAGATATTCCTCTATATAAAGTAATTTCTAATTTGGGCAGCTAGAAGAATAAAGTGAGAAAATTATCTTAGGACTTCTTGATTAAAAAATGATCAGGATAAATTTTAAAACTTTTAGATCTCCTTTAGATTAGCACAATATATAAATAATTTATATTGCACATAATATAAAGAAAATCCAAAGGCGTTAAAATCTAATAAAATAAAAATTTGAAAGTATAAAAAATATTTTAAATTAATGGATTTAATTAAATTTATATTTATTACAAAAAGAAAAAAAACTCATGACCACTCTGACAAGGCAACGAAATTAGTACTTAAACACCCTATAAATATTGAGCATTATTTCGCTCTTTAATCTTTTGTAAAGAACAATGAAATGTTTCTCTTCATTATGATTTGTATTATATTGATAAGAAGAAATAGGAAAGTTGGATTTTTAGCTTGGCGACGTCTTGTTGGCTTTTTTGGGGCAAGAACATACTAAAAGAAAGATGCTGACTATTCTTAAGCATGTAATAGATTCAATTGAGTTGCATGAGAATTAGGAGGTCTATAACAATATGGTATAGCTCATTGGAATGATAGTTCGTTAGTTTATTCTAAGGTCATTTACATGAAATTTTTGGGCAATTTTTCTCAGTTAATCGTTCAAGTTTATTCATGATTCACGTCAGTAACAGAATGATGAAACCACAAATAAAATGTTAATTTTATTTTCTGACAAAATCTTTAAAAATTAAAACTAAATTGAAATACATAAACTATTCTTTTAGCTTTTAAATAATTGTATATGTGACTAAATTTCATAACTACAAACCAAAAATGCATTAATGTTTGAAAATTATGTTGGATCCAAATTTCATTCAATAGAGAGATCTGCATATCAACAGCGCGCGCCTCGTTTCGCCCTAGCCGCCTCCTGGCGATTTTAGGGTTACGCGAGAATCTCTTCTTTTCCGATTGTTTTTCCTCGCTGGTTCCGATTTTTCCTCTGGAGCTCTTCCTTGTGGGGCAACTGGTGGCGCACCTGATTTTTTGCCCCTTCTTCTTGTCCTTATCTGGTGGATATGGCTTCTTCCAACCCGTGGGGGAAGGTATCCAGCCCGATCCATGGTAAAAGTAAGGGCTTCTTCAACTTGGAAGGTGAAGTTCCATCCAAAACCCCGTCTAGATCTTTCAAAGATGTGTTGTCGGGTGATCCGATGCAAGGTGATAATATTCCTAAATTTATCCAGTCGGTAATTAATGGTGCTCCTGCTGTTCTTATTTCTGATGAGGACATTCTTAAACTGGCATCACCTTTTAAATTTACTTTAGTTGGAAAATTTAATCTTCGTAGACCTAATCTGGATACCATTCAGATGTTTTTTGCTAATCTTAAGCTTTCTGGTTTTTATTCCATCGGATTACTGGATTCTCGCCATGTAGGGATTCAACTTTCTAACGATATGGATTATAGTCGTATTTTTGCTAGACGTTCTTATTTCATTAGTAACTGTCAAATGAAAGTTTTAAAATGGACTCCTTTCTTTGATATTCAAGAGGAATCCCCTATCGTGCCAATCTGGATTTCTTTTCCGAATTTGCGGTTACATTTTTTTAATCCTCAAGTCCTGCATGCTGTCGGTTCTGTTTTTGGAAGGCCCCTGCAAACCGATCAAGCGACTGCTTCCAGGACTAGGCCTTCTATGGCTCGAGTCCTTGTGGAAGTTGAAATTTCTAAGAAACATGCGAAAGAAATTTGGGTTGGTTCCAGGGATTTTGGTTATATGCAAAAGGTTGAGTTCGAAAAAGTGGCAGATTTTTGTTCTCACTGTAAGATGCATGGTCATGGGGCTGTGGATTGTTTTAAATTGCATCATGACTTGAAAAAAAATACTACATCTAATGTTGAAAAAGTTGATTTATCTGTGAAGGAACAAGAACCTATGGTTTCGGAGGCCACACCGGTAGGGGATAAAGATATTGCTCTGGAAGCGGTTCAGGTAAATTCGTTAGCTGTTAATAATTTAGATATACCGAAGAACTTAAATATTGCGGAAAATTTTGTGGAAGGTAATTTAGCCAGAAAGGAAGAGGCTCATATTCCTAATTTATATGTTTCAATTGACTCTATGCTG